GATGACAAAAGCCGCTTCATGTGGCTGACCCTGCTGCAAGCGAAAAGTGAGGCGGCAGAGGCGGTTAAGTGCATTAAAGCCGAGCGGATGCCGAATGTAAGAAGAAGATGCGAGTGTTGTGCACAGACCGAGGCACGGAGTTCACCTCGACAAATTTCGGTAAGTACTGTGACGAGATCGGCATACAATGGCACCTAACGACGCCCTACTCCCCCCAACAGAACGTAGTGGTGGAGCGCCAAAATCAGACCATCGTCGGGATAGCGAGGTCATTGTTGGTGAAGGTCGGGATGCCTGGGAGATTCTAGGAAGAGGCAGTAATGACGATCGTCTATCTCCTCAATCGGTCACCAACCCGAAGCCTTGATGGGAAGACGCCATATGAGGCCTGGTACAACAAAAAACCAGCGGTACATCATTTCCGCGTGTTCGGTTGTATCTCATACATGAAGGTAACACGTCCCCACCTCGCCAAGCTCGATCCTAGGGGGCTGAAGGTCGTCTTCGTCGGCTATGAACTCGGGAGCAAGACGTACAGACTATATGATCCTGTAGGGGGGCGAGCTCACGTGTCTCGCGACGTCGTCTTCGACGAAAGCATCTTCTGGCAGTGAAATGACGTGATCAAGGCAGGCCATAATCCAACTCAATTCATGGTAAAGTATCTCGTCACCGAGCCAGAAGAAGGAGAAGCCCAGCATCAGCAGCCGTCACTGCCGCCAGTAGGTGCAACCCCTGAACTAGTGAAATTCGCAACACCACGGACTGCAGATTCGACGCTGGATGCTGATTACGATACTGATCTGGAGGCCAGGTACCGAAGGATGGACGACCTAGTAAGAGGAGGTGAACCACCTCGACTGGCAGAGCGCGAGCTCGAAGAAGTGGTCGAACTACATGTCATCAGTGCAGATGAATCGAACACCTTCGTCAAAGCAGAAAAGAACCCGTGTTGGCTGAAGGCAATGCAGACGAAGATGACATCCATCACCGAGAACCAGACGTGGAGTCTGGAGGATATGTCGCCGGGACACCAAGCCATAGGGGCTCAAATGAATCTTCAAACTGAAGTGCAACGAAAAAGGAGAAGTTGTGAAGCACAAGGCCCGTCTGGTGGCGAAGGGCTACGTCCAGAAGCAAGGAGTGAACTTCGAAGAGGTATTTGCGCTAGTGACAAGGTTAGAATTCGTTCGTTTCTTGCTGGCAATTGTGGCACATTACTCTTGGGAGGTTCACCATATGAACGTAAAGTCTGCTTTCCTTAACGGAGAGCTGAAGGAGACCGTCTATGTCCGACAACCACCTGGCTTCCTGGACAACGACAACCCCAATAAAGTACTACGCCTGCACAAGGCACTCTACGGGCTTCGACAAGCTCCACGAACCTGGAACACGAAGCTCGACAGTACCTTACTGTCACTGAAATTCAAACGTTGCACCTCTGAGCATGACATGTACACGCACGCCCATGGCAAGAAGCGACTGATCGTGGGAGTGTACGTTGACGACCTCATAATCACTGGAGGTGACGTGGAAGTCCTCGGAAGGTTCAAGAAGGAGATGTCGAAAAACTTTGAGATGAGCAATCTCGACGTGCTTAGCTACTATCTAGGCATCGAAGTGCAATAGAATTCTACCGGCATCTCCATCTGCCAAAGTGCATACGCGAAGAAGCTGCTGGACACAACTGGGCTTGTGGATAGTAATCCTACAAGGATGCCAATGGAGGCCTGACTCCAACTAAGGAAGGCCGGCACTACGACGACAGTCGACTCCACCAATTACCGCAGCATTGTCGAGAGTCTGCGCTATCTGTTAAACTCTCGTCCTGATCTTGCTTATTCTGTTGGATATGTGAGCCGGTTTATGGAAGCACCTAGGGAGGAGCATCTAGTGGCTGTCAAGCGCATCCTGCGCTATGTAGCCGGAACCAGAGGTTGGGGTGTAAGATACTGCGCAGGGAGCGGAAATGAGAAACTCAAGCTGGCCGGCTACAGTGATAGTGACATGGGCGGTGACGTTGATGATCGTAAGAGCACTAGCCGAATGATCTACTTCCTCTCAGGTGGCGCAATCTGCTGGCAATCAACAAAACAGAAGATAGTTGCTTTGTCTTCCTGCGAAGCAGAATACATCGTCGCTTCGATGGCAGCTACACAGGGGATCTGGCTTGTGCGACTAATGGAAGAACTCATCGGGAGAGAAAGTGATCCACCAATGCTATACGTAGACAACAAAGCTACGATCTCCCTGATCAAAAATCCAGTTTTGCACGAACGGAGCAAGCACATAGAAATCAGATTCCACTACATTCGAGAATGTGCAGATCGAGAGCTCATCAAGATTGATTACATCCGAACAGAGGAACAACTTGGAGACATTTTCACCTAGTCCCTGGCGCGGGTGAAATTTGAAAAACTACGCTCAAAGATCGGAGTTCAAATAATAAGGTACATATACCACAGGTTTTAGGAGGAGATTGTTAGATAAAACCTAAGTTTTTTTTTTTTTTTTTAGTTTTTCCTTATTTAGATTCACACGATTTCAGAATACCTCCGTTTGACCATTTGACAAAACACATCGAATGGATCACCAAAGTTTCAGACGAAAATTTTGTAGGAAGTGGCACAGATTTAGTTGTCCACTCTCCAGCCATTTTTAGGATAGTTTATATTTAAATAGGAAATCTGTTCCGAATATTGTATAACCTGATTTTGAACGCAGTCAAAATTTCAGCCATTCTCTCTCTTTTATTTTACGCATTTTATTTTTCTTCCAACAACCTCCCATCGACGATTTCCTCTCACCGAATTTCTTTGGCTGATTATCGAAAAATAACAACGAAGCTCAAAGACAAAAGCAAAAGATATATCTTTATTGGATATGATGAGAAGACAAAAGAATATAAACTACTTGACACGATTAGCAAGATGGTGTTAATGAGTTGCGATGTGCGAGTAAATGAAGCAAGCGAATGAGACTGAAACAATTCGACGGAAGTCAATATTGAAGTTGGAGAATCATCAGTCGCTGCACTAATAAAGTGCACCAACAGACTCAGAAATTTTCGATGATGAAGATGAACCACGACAACCTAAAATGCGAAGTTTAAGAGATTTGTATGACTCAACAAATGAGGTACATCTTGTATGTCTTCTAGTAGATGCTGAAAATATAAGCTTTGAAGAGGCGGTGGAAACCGTTGAAAATGAGGTGATGCGCAACTGATGTGACGACATTCTGATGGCGGAGATGAGAAAATCAAAGAAAGATGAACAACCAAATAATAGAGAGCCCGAGCTCGAAGGGAGAGAACTCTAATGGCCGGAAAGGCAAGTTGATGAAGAAAGAAGAAAGAGGATGAGAATGAGAATGGAAGAGAAAATGGAAGAAGGAAAGAAAGAGTTAGAAATGAAGGTTGAAAGGTTAGAGAAGGAAGTTGGTGAGCTACTTTTATCTCAAACAGGAAAAGGAAGAGAATGGGAAGGTAATCTTTGAACTTGTGAAGAAAGTTGAAGAAGGTGTAGAGAAAAAGAATGGCTTGTTAATGAAGATTGATGCTCTAGTGGACGAGCTAGTGAGGGAGGAGAAAAATATAGAGATGTTGACTCAATAGAGAGACTCACTCGACGTGAACCTGAATCGAGTTCAACAGGAGGCAGTGAATTTAGACACATGATTGAGATACTCACTCGTGATAAAGCCGAAATGGGGAAGCAAAAATGGAAGTTGAAAATGTAGTGGATTTGCAAAGGAAATTGAGTAAACTGAACGAAGCTATGACGTTTAAGTCGAGCGTGACTGAAAACGGAAGAAATGAGGAGTTGGTGTCTCAAATGGGCGGTTCTCGAGAAGCTTCAAATGAAGTTTCATCAGAGAAGAACAAACTCAGTTTGTCGCTAGAGGACAAGGAGAGGAAATTGAAGAAACCACGACTAAGCTCGAAAAAATAAAAACGGCACAGGTAAAATCATTGAATAGAGCATTTAAGTTTGGGAATAAACTTCGAATGAAAAATAAAGTAATTTTAGGAAGTTTTTGAAATTGAGTGAAACATAAGTTCATATGAGGGCCATATTCAGCCTTTATAAACCTATAAATTAACTTATTTTTTCATGGTAAAAGCGCAAAAGAGGAAAGAGAAAGGGTAGAGAACAAAAAAAAAAAAAAAAGAATTTTTTGTCTCCTTGTCACTCCCCTCCTAACATTTCCTTCACAGTTTTATGAGTGTTATTTTAACAAATTAGTATCAGAGTGAATTTCTACAAATTGGTATCATAGCGAGCTTTTATTTCAACAAAGTTAACTATTAAATTATTTTTCATATATGAAAATGAGTGAATTTCATAAAATTATTATTTGGTCAAGTCTATAAACTGATAGGCAAATTGAATCGGTTATAAACGTTATTCCCATTCATGCCAATCAAAACACAAGCCCTAACAAATACATAACTTATTAAGAATTGATATTGAGAGTTGCATATGGTCATCTTGTAATGGTTAATCTTTTCAATTAACAAATTTATAAGAGATTATTCAAATATATTCACATGAACGATTTGATTCAAATTATAAATGAGTCGTATTAATAGACACACAACGTTATTCATATATTATGAACCCTAAATCCTAAACATGTATGTCAAATACCTACTATTCAATATTACATGAAATAGTTATTAAAAATTAAATAAATAATCGTGAAGTTTGATATTGAAAGATGAACGACTGAAAACGAATACAATTGTTAAATTCAAGGATTATAAAACAGGGAAAAATAAATTCTGGACTTGAAATTATTCAGCGATCGTTCTTCAATTTGTTGCTCTGCGCTTCATCGTCATTTTCCCGTTTCCAATACCATTGTTTCTGCTGCTCATTTCGTTTCCGGATGACAGATCCATTGGAGAGATACCAAAATCTTGCCCTAACAGACTCTCTGGCGAAGAGTTACAGCTACCCATTAGCTTGTAAGGAGCTAAGCTTCATTACCAGAGGCGCTTTCAATAAACTTCCCAAGAATCTCCAGTCCCTCATCTTCCAACATATTATCACGGCCTTTCATCTTCTTCCGGAGTAAGTTCTCTGTTTCTCCCCTTCCTGCGATTGCGTTTCTTTCTGTTCATTTTTACCAGAAATCATGGATTCATTCATTTTTTTTGGGTATCAAAAGATTAGGGAAGATATGAGTCGCTTTTGATTATGGTTTTGGAATTCAGTGATTTAGAATTGATATGCTGAGTACCGATATAGCTTGTCAGTTTCAATTCTCGATAATTGAGTCCAGTTAGGAAATGTTATGAACTCTTTGAATGTTTTGATTTGGCCATTTGGGAAACGTTCCATTCACTCTCGATTCGAAAAGGTTCTTAAATCCTTTGCCTGTGCCTGGTTGATTATTGCACATTACTTATTCAATTATCACATCTGTCATTTTTCTTGAATAGCTTCCCTTTTAAGGATTCAATTGAATGGTTGGTTGAATGTCTTAATAAACATATTTATTGTCAGCGTTAAATGAAGAGTATCATAGATTTGTCTATCATAAACCAATTCTCTTCTTTAATGGGTTCAGCTGCTAAAGAGAATATGCAATGTTCTTGGTCTTTCGTATGTATGAGGATGTAGTTGTGTACCTGGACGATTCTGTCTTATGGCATTGAAACTGAACATAACTATCTGTTATTAGGAATCACGAATCTTCATGATGGTATGATATTGTCCATCTTGAGCATTAGCTCTCGTGACTTTGCTTTGTGCTTCCTCAAAAGGCTCGTACTAGTGAGGATGTATTCCTTAGTTATAAACCCATGATCATTCTCTAAATTATCCCAGAACGTGGGACTCCCTCCCAACAATTCTCAACATTTGTATCTTCTATGAATTTCTTACTCTTTCCGCTCTCTCATTTGTTTACGTTCCTCAATGCTTATTAGAAAATGGGAAGTTGAATATGAAATCAATACGAAATTTTCTGATTAAGGTGTGGTTGATTTAACAAAAGAATGCAGACGAGCTCTGCTGTTTCAGCTGCACATCTTCTTGCTCAGGGTGTTGAAGCTTCTTTGCCTAAGCAAAAGAGAAATTCAGCAATTGTAGAATTTAAGAAAGCAATGGTTGCTCATAAGAGACGTAGTAAAGCACGTCAGGAAGTAAAAGGTGAATTAGTTGTAAGGGTAATTGCTATTTATATATCAAATTGAACATATTTAAAATTTTTATCTTCATGTTTTGCAACTCAGTCTGATTCGTTCCTCACAAATTCGTTTAGGTTCATCTCAACTCCCTCAAGACGTTCTCCTCCACATCTTCCGCTTTCTAGATATTGAATCTTTAGTTTCAGCTGGGCTAGTCTGTCGGTAATTTTCTGTTTTTAAGACTGTATGTCATAATATTTCCCTTCTCTATCAACAAAGTTTGTTATTACCTTAATTTTTGTTTACTAGCATTATAAGTTCACGAGCATAGCTAACAGAAAGGGCTTCGTTTTAAGATAATCGTTATTATATACTCAATGTGAAGGTCATGGAGTGCAGCCGCAGATGATGAATATCTGTGGCAGTTTCAGTATACAACATTTTTTGGTTGTTCTGATGAACCCATTAATGATGAAGACAGTGTGGATGGCTTAGCTAGCACACCTCACGTTGATTGGAAAGAGGCGTTCAAGAGAGCATATGTAGGTGAGAATTGAGACCTGAACAATATATTATATGGTTTGGTTGGGTTTTCCCTGTCACTAAGCGATTAACTTAAATTTAAGAAAAATACTATCCATGTAGGTATCATTAGGGTATCAAAAGCATATTCGTTAGCGGGAGTTGATTATAAGTAAAATCGGTGGGAGTAGACAAGGGCAGACAATTGTTTGGTGGTTTAGGCTTAAGTGAGAATACTCGGTGGGAGGTTTAATGTAATATCCCAAGCCCACGTTCTGTTCGGGCTTCTCTTCAAGGTTTTTAAAACGCATCTGCTAGGGAGAGGTTTCCACGCCCTTATAAAGAATGCTTCATTCTCCTCCGCAACTGATGTGAGATCTCACAATCCACCCCCTTTAAGGCCCAACGTCCTTACTGGCACACAGCCTCGTGTCCACCCTTTTCGGGGTCCAGCATTTTTGTTGGCACTCATTCCCTTCTCCAATCAATGTGGGACCCCCAATCCACCCCCTTTAGGGCCTAGCATCCTCGCTGGCACACAACCTCGTGTCCACCCTCCTTCAGGGCTTAGCCTCCTCGTTGGCACATCACCTAGTATCTGGCGATGATACCATTTGTAATGGCCCAAGCCCATCACTAACAGATATTGTCCTCTTTGGGCTTTCCCTCAAGGTTTTTAAAATGCGCCTACTAGGAGAGGTTTCCACACTCTTATAAAGAATACTTCATTCTCCAAACCAATTGACGTGGGATCTCACATTTAATTATTGTGTTTATTTTATATTTTTACCTTCCAATTCTGTTCATATTTAAATTCTTTCACTCTTTTTCTTAATGAAACAAAACTTTCAATAAGATGGTTTTTGATATCATATTCATTATTTGTACCATGGCATTTGGAATGTTAGGTAATTCTCTGTGGAGAAACAGATATGGAAGGGGATACTGCAAACACTGTGACACAATAGTTTCCTTTAGTACCTTGAGATGTCCCAATGATCATGGTAGAAATAAAAACAGACAAATCAAGCCTCTGTCAATCAACCAGGTACTTTTTTCTTTCCCCTTTTTCCTAAGTTCATTTTCAGGGTCTTTTTGGGTAGCTTTTTTCTCTCTTCGACTTTCTTTCTTTAGTTACATGAATCTCTCTCTCACTGAACTCGAGTATTGTTTTTCCCTTCCCAACACCGCACGAAACTGCTGCTGCTTGAATGGTCACTTTTTGTGAAACTGACTTCTTTTCTGGCTGATGGTAGTATGGTTTTTTTGCTATTGATTCTCTTAGAGGGGGGAAAATCACGCCCATGTTGTTTTAAAGTATCTATAAAGATTTTATAGCTGCTTAAGTTTTTCAAGAATGCTTGATTGGAATCACTTCATTGTCCAAAACTGATTCTGAATTTGCCTATCAGTTCAAGAAAAATTGCTGAAACCACTGTTGGTTAAATCATATAAATAATTACCCTGAAAGTTTCCTTTTTGTTTAAAAAATACTCCTATGCTTTTACTTTTCAAATTTTGGACTGCTACACCGTTTCAGGTCTCAATTTTTGTCCAAAATTCTAAAAAATTTCTACACAAAAGTAGTTTTGAAACGTTTATATGAGGTGAAGAGCAAGCTTGAATAAGGGTATTTTCCAACCTAATGATTAAAAAAACCAAACTAACTGAAATATTTTGGGTTTTGCCTTTGAACTAATCATAATGTGTGAACTTCTTGTAGGTTGTTGAATATGTGTTAAATGGAATTTCAGAATTGATTTATTCTTCAGATAGCGATACTGATTCAGATGAAGTTGTGATTTCTGAGTTTTGGGCTCTTCCAAAGTATTTGGGCAGAAGACGCCCCAACTGAGTGGTGCCAACGGGCACTAAAGGAGCCGGAGCCGATTGAAAGTGTTCAAACATGTAAAGTTGGAGATTTGATTTTTTTTTTTTAAGAATATAATGTGAACATACTTAAGTTGGCGAGAGATTTGGTGTTGTAATAGACAGTAAAGAAGTCGACTCGTCTAGCCTTTTTATCTCGATGATATTACTAAAGGGAAAGTTCGTATCGATTACAAAATAACTCCAATTGGTGTAGATGGCAGCTTAGATTGTAAATAATATAGCAATAGCAGATGAGCCTTTTTTTTTTTGGCTGTGGGATTAGAAGTTTATTTTGGTTGGAAACTACTCTGCTGAATTAAAAATAATACTAACCGTGTTCTTAATTATAATTTTCTTTGAATATTAATGGGGTTTTTATTTTTAGTCCAACACTAATTTAATGACACAAGATCCTACATGTTTTTATTGTAGTCTGATTAGACCCTTTATTAATATTTCTTTACTAAAATTTCAGAATATGTATCTGACGTGCTGAACTAAGTTACCTGAAGGGATGATCGAAAGGATTTTGTGATATTTACACGAGGTGTGATTAGGTAATTAGTCACTAAAAACATCCGAAGAGGTGATCTAGGTCACTGTACATGGTAAACCGAAGTTTTATTTTCCGGTTTTGGAAGGGAGATCAAGTTTTGTGTTTGGTCATATATTGATAATTCATGATTTTTTAGAACCGATTACAAATGAAAAAACTTTGAAATCAAAGTTGGTTCTCGATGTACTAGATTGTGTGTTGGTCCTCGATTTTACTAGATTGTGTGCGCATTCTTAAGGAGATTAATAAAAGTTGAAAAGTTCAAGAGTATTTTTGAATCTTTATGTACACACTTTGAATGTCTTTCTCTTCTAAATAATTGTTATTGTTGTGCAAATAGAACACGAACCGGAACACATCACGAAGTACATCGATTTGGTTGAAAATATGAGCTGGAGTTGAATTATGGTTTCGAATATCATCCATCAGGAATGAAAAGTTTAATTCCATAATAGCAGGTTGGCTAGGAATCGACATTAATGCATTTAGAAAACAAAGTTGTTGAATATGAAGATCTTCCCTTGTTCAATCACTAGAAATTGGGTGGTTGCTTGGAACAAAAAAGTAAACAAGAAAACTTGGGAGAACGAGAGTTTTAATTTATTCTTTTCTCAAATATTGAGTAATAATTTTTCAAGTGATTCCCAATAAAAAATCCATTCCATTTTTTAAGTTCAAGTATGTTTTTCTCACCATTTCTTTACATTGATTTTTATCTCTATTAAGGTAAAATAGTCCTGTCTTGTTGAATCTAAATCACAGAGTGTGAAGTGTTATAAATAGTATCAGAGCAAAACTTTTCCTAATAGGATGTGGTTCGAGGACGGACCAAGACTGAAATAGAGGGCATGTGAGAATGGTCGTTCAATAACTGTTATTGCAAGCAAATTCTATCAGATGTAGATGTTCGTCCCAGCACCCAGCGAAATCCATGACACAGGCTCGTAACATATCTTCTAAGATTTGGTTTAGTCTTTCGGTCTCTCCGTCCGTCTGAAGATGAAATGTTGTACTAAAGCTTAGTTGAGTCCCCAATGTTTTTTGAAGACTTTTCCAAAACTGAGAGGTGAACCTAGTGTCCCAATCAGATACTATAGACATCGGTACCCCATCCAGGCGTACTATCGCTCTGATATGCAGCTGAGCCATCGATTCCAGCCCTCTTCATCTCATCCTGTATTCTTTCCTGCTTGGTGATCATCGCAGAAGTATGAAAAACCTTTCTACTCAATGCATCCACCACAACATTGGCCTTGCCTGGATGGTACAGGATCTCGATGTCATCATCCTTTACTAGTTCCAACCATCTCCTCTGCCTCATGTTAAGCTCCTTCTGTGTAAATAGGTGCTTGAGAATCTTGTGATCAGTGAACACTTGGATTTTCTCTCCATATAGATAATGTCGCCATGTTTTTAGTGCAAACACCACTGCTGCTAACTCGAGGTCATGAGTGGGATAATTTTTTTCATATTCCTTTAGTTGTCTAGAAGTGTAAGTTATCACCTTACCCTTCTGCATGAGCACGCACCCTAGACCTTTTCCTGATGTGTCGTTGTACACCACTAGATTCCCAGATCCATCTGAAACTCTGAGGATTGGTGTTGTCACCAACCTCTCCTTGAGTTCCTAGAAGCTCTGTTCGCAAGTTGTCCACACAAAGGGCTTACCCTTCTTGGTTAACTAAGTTAGCACTGAAGATATTTTGGAGAAATCCTGGACAAACCTTTTGTAATATCCAGCTAGTCCTAGAAAACGTCGTACTTCAGTGACTATGGTTGGCCTTGGCCACTTCATCACTGCCTCTATCTTAACTGGGTAGAAAACGTCGTACTTCAGTGACTATGGTTGGCCTTGGCCACTTCATCACTGCCTCTATCTTAGCTGGGTCCACTGTGATTCCTCTGTTTGACACCACATGACCCAAAAACGCTACTTTAGATAGCCAAAACTCACTTGAAAAACATGGCATACAGCCGCGGCATTCTCAGTATGGTCAGAACTTTCCTCAAATGCTCTTACTATTCTACCTCTGACTTAGAATACACCAGAATGTCATCAATAAACACTATAACAAAAGTGTCTAAGAATTTCTTAAACACCATGTTCATTAGTTCCATAAAAACGGTTGGTACATTGGTAAGACCAAAGGACATGACGAGAAACTCATAATGTCCATAGCGACTTCTGAAGGCTGTTTTGGATATATCTTCTTCTCTTATTCTCAATTGATGATATCCTGATCTTAAGTCAATTTTGGAGAATACCGTTTCTCCTTGCAATTGATCAACTAAGTTGTTGATTCTCGGGAGGGGGTACTTATTCTTTATGATGACCTTGTTCAGTTCTCTATAGTCTATACACAGACGCAGGGATCCATCCTTCTTCTTGACAAATAGAACAGGGGCTCCCCAGGGCGATACACAAGGTCGTATGAAACCCTTATTCAATAGCTCCTGTAAATGTTCTTTCAATTCCCTGAGTTCTGCAGGTGCCATTCTGTAGGGTTACTTGGAGATTGGCGCAGTTCTTGGTTCTAGGTCGATCTCGAAGTCAACTTCCCTTACTAGGGGCAAACTTGACAAATCCTTAAGGAAAACATCAACAAATTCCCTGACAATTTGTACTAACGAGACTGTCTGTTCATTTCTGTTGTCTAGGGTCACACCGGCTAAAAATGCGCTTGTACCACTGCCGATCATCTTTCTAGCCTTTAGAGCAGTTATGACGCTTAGGGTTCTTTTGGAAGTGGCTCCCTTATATGTAAAATTATCCCCTGTCGGGAGTCCGAGAGTAACTATTCGAGTTTCACAATCTATTAGAGCGCGATTCTCGCCTAGCCAATCCATATCCAAAATAACATCAAAGTCTTGCATACTTAATATTATTAAAGCAGCTTCTATGACGCATCCCGACACTGTCACACTACCTCCCTTAACTCTATGAGTAGCCATTAATAGCCATGAGCAAGGGTGGACATTGATATAATGGTCTTTAAGGGTTCTTTTTCTGGGTGCCTTAAGTCAACGAATTTCTCAGACACAAACGAATGTGTAGAACCCGAATCAAATAGTACAAAAGCCAAATGATCAAAGACGGGTAGTGTACCTGTAATAACTACGTCAGACGCGTCGTCTTGCCTGCCTGTGGTTGCATGGGCTACAGCTCGCCCCTGCTACTGTTGGGCACCTCGACCCCTTTGATTCTTTATTGCAAGTTCGTTGGTATTATGATCTCTCTTATGAGGACAGTTTGCTCCAAAGTGTCCTGTTTGGCCACAATTGTAGCATACATCAGTTCCTTGTCGACATTCCCCTAGGTGAGGGCGCTGACACTTAGAACATGGGTCCTTATTCTGTGTTGGGGCTCTTCCGCGATTGGCAGTGCCACCACGGGGTGGTCTGCCAGTCTTGGGATAGTTCTGTTAAATAAAAGCTATAGTTTTCTTAGATTTCGTTAGTTGGTTTTTTACTTTTGAAAATCTGAATTAATGCTCCCCATTGAATGAAAGAGCTTAATTTTTGCTCGCCAACTTTGGGCGCAAGTTTTTGCTCACTACTTTCCATTTTTTGGATTAAAATTGTTATTTAAAGTATTCAATTGAATGGAAAATCGATCATCGAGTCTTTAGCAAATCTCTCTCCTTTTACTTTCTGTTATTTTTTCTTCGAAGAAATTTTCCTTCGGCCGGTTTGTTTTTCCAACGACATTTTCCTCCCAAGCCAGAAGTCAACAAGTTCTGGTCTATCTTTTCCCCCTAAACTGCTATGTGGGATTTTTGGGTTGACCCTGACTGTAATTTGTCAATACGAGGCGCATCAATGAGGGTAGCCATTTTGAGGGCTGCTGTATAATCTGTGGATGCCTGATATCCCACATATCCTCTAATGTTCTCCCTTAGGCCGGCGATAAAACGTTCAGCCTTAAGCTCTTCAGTGCTGAGATATATAGGAGAGAATCTTCCCAATCTATTAAATTCCAAATCATAATCCTCCACAGATTGGTCACCCTACTTGAGTTCATGGAACGCTGCCTGCAACTTCATCCTAGTAGTGACTGGATAGTATTTGCAGAGGTAGACATTTTTAAACCGACACCAAGAAATAGACTCTCCAAGCGGTGCAATAGTTTTTTTAGCACCCTTCCACCAAAAATGAGCCTCTCCCTTCAACATATAAATTCTGTAATGAATCTGACATTTCAGCGGACAGTTCATGTAAAAGAAGACTGTTCCATAGCCTCAAGCCAGGTTTCTGCTGCGACGGGATTTATTTTACCACCATCAAAGGAAGGCGGGTTATGCCTCTGGAAGTCTTTCAGATAGCGAGACTCCACAATCATGGTCCCTGAGTCTCTGGTCCCTTGCAATGTCGTCTGTTGCATTGTAGCCTGGTTAGTGACTAGTGTCTACATCATCTAAGTCATCTGAGCCTGATTTTTCACAGAGGTTAACATAAATGTCTGTAGTACATCTGTAGTGAGGTTAGTTGTTGGCTGGCTAGGTGGAACTTCTACATTATTGGTGGGCACCGATGGGACCGCCTTAGGAGAAGGAGCAGTAGAGTTTGCATTGGGTAAGTCTTGAGTCATTGCTCTCTTTTGACTCATTCTTGATCTTGGTGCCCGTGGTATAAGACTCGAATCATTGGGGCATTTCATCAACCTCCTCTTGAGGTTCAGGTACAAGTTGTTCCGTCTTAGGTGACGGGACATCAGTGCCCGAAGCAACTCTTCTTCTTCCTCTTCTAAGCCCAGGCCCGATATAGGGTCCACATCTTTTTGGTGCCATTTAGCTACCACAATAGAAAAATTGTGGTTATCATTCATTCAAAGCTCAACCTCTAGAAAATGTGCAATTATAACCCAAGAAAAAGTCATGATAAATTCTCTACTTAACAACTTAGTTCTTGATTTCGCAATTCAAATTCGTGAGACTGTCTGGTCGCGAGCGGCACGTGATTGATGGGCGCGTCACAGAGGATACGACTCTCTAACCTAAGTGTCTACAAGGCCTATGTCCTGGTACTCTGATACCAAATTTGTCACGACCCAAAAATTTTCCTCAAGTCGTGACTTATTAAGACTATGACGTGTAGTGTATATACAGAAAATTCAAAGGAAAACATCATTTCAAAAAAATCAATCGTCTATTTCGTAAGAAGAGCGTTTCAATACAAAGAAAACATAGGTGACTAGTTTTAGACAAAGAAAGAAACATGAAGGACAAATGTACTAATCGGTAAGACTGGACTGACGCCTCGGGACACGCTTCCTATGTGACAATCCACATCTTTCAATGCGCCCTCTCTTGACCCAACGCCTTACGTACCTAAAAAAGAAAGGTATAGCAAGAATGAGTATAAAATTATACTTAGTAAGCCACCTACTTGTAGGCTCTTATCGCATCCTAATTTTGACAAACTTCCATGGTCTTTTTCTTTGACTCTAGAACATCTAGTTCACGTCTTAGCTCCTTGAGGCTTTTTTGGTACTTCGTCTTATCATTTATACTTTAAGAGTTCCCTTACGCCAACCTGTGTTTGACTGGTACTCTGTGAGTAGCTACCTCGACATGCTTTGAGACTACCTGGTGTCATATCTAGGAAGTGAGCTGCAACCCCCTAGTCCCATGATAATCCCTCATTGTTCGGGGAGGGCTACCTCCCCAATTCCCATCCATCTAAATGGTCGGTTTCAACGTGGGTCTCCCGTTTCCCATGCTAAAACGACTTTAGAGCATATGAGTCCGGATCAAAAACCCCCTGGTCTCCCATGAAGCATTGACACCAATCGCACACAGTTAACCTAATGGTACTCTAGCGGTACTGTGGTAGTTTCTTATGCTCCTAGGGGAAAGGTTAGGTCTATACTTAGTGTCTTGTTGCTCTAACTACAAGTCCCTAGACTTAATCATAAATGTGGGTCATGAAAATTAATTTTGTGTGCACACAACTATCATCCAACATCATCATACATATTTCATGCAAAGTAAACATACATGCTCAACGAGGCGATAACATCCATCAACTCCCAGCGTAGAGCTCACAAGTTCCCATCCTCCTTTCAGCATGAAATAAACATATACATATAAAGCGGAAGTTAAAACATAAATGCAACACTCAGACGATTCTCATAGTACTTCTCATAAAACATCCATAATCTTAACAAACAATTACCTACAATCAAACATGGAAAACTACTACCTAAGGTAATTAAACTAGAATGCATGCATATCCAAGCGACTCCTACAAGTATTTCTTCCTAAAGATCCGTGTGGTGACTTACCTGGATAATGTGTGCCCTTAACGTAGTGTTTTCACACAATCAACGTATAAAAAAGTACTGATTTTTCCTCAATTAGATCCTATTTCATAAAAAATAGAGTTAGGATTGGATTCAGGAGGAAAATAGGGAAAACAAGAGTCGAATGGGACGAAAACGGGCTTACACGTGCTTCCACGCGTTGGGAAAAATTCACTCGCAGGTTCCACGTGCGAGTGTTACACGCACACGATTTTTTGCAGCCGTGGGTCGTCGATTCGGTTCGAGTGGACTGCGGGTCGCCGCGGTTCATTTTGTCACGCGGGTACCGGGTCAGCCGAGGAACGCGGGTCGGGTAGCATGGCCGCGGACGCGTGTTGCTGGAAAGCTGGAGTCGTGTCTCCCCATGCGGCATTTGACGCGTGTCCGGTGGTTATTGGCGCACGCGGTCCTCTTTCCGATTGACACATGACGCGCCATCGCATTCTCTCTCCTAGCAGAAAAACGAGGTTTCCGATTAATTTTCCGACGTACTTCTCATTTTTCTATCTCTTGATTCTTAATCCAAACCGTAATGACTTCTTCAACAAAGTTTTAGATCATACTACAACCTACATGCCAATATTTTTTCCTTGATTTTTACTTAATCTACGACGAGTTATGAGTGTCGGAAAGAGGTCCGATAACATTCTTACCGTTCTTGGAAAGATTCTCAGATCTCAACATTTCGTCCGATTTCCTCACAAAATTAGTGGCGAATCTTCCCTAGATGAAGATAGTAAACTTTAACACTCTATTTGCAAACGAAGATCTCAGATGTGGAGAGTGACGTTTGAGATCTTACCTTGCAGATTTCTCTCGAATCTTGACGGAAGATGGAACCTCAACAACATGAGTCTTTCTTCTCTCCAAGAAGAAGCTCCAGAGTGCAAGTCTCGATAGAGGATGATTTTCGTTGGTAACTCTCCGACGAGGACTCTGGCGATTCGTTCGAGATCTTACCTTGTGGATTTCTCTCGAATCTTGACGATCTCCGACGAGGACTCTGGCGATTCGTTCGAGATCTTACCTTGTGGATTTCTCTCGAATCTTGACGAAAGATGGAACCTCAACAACACAAATTTTTCTAATCTCCAAGAAAAAGCTACAGATTGTAAGTCTCAGTAGAGGAAACCTCAACAACACAAATTTTTCTAATCTCCAAGAAAAAGCTACAGATTGTAAGTCTCAGTAGAGGATGATTTTCGTCGGTGATTCTCCGACGAGGACTCTGGCGATTCGTTCGAGATCTTACCTTGTGGATTTCTCTCGAATCTTGACGAAAGATGGAACCTCAACAACACAAATTTTTCTAATCTCCAAGAAAAAGCTACAGATTGTAAGTCTCAGTAGAGGATGATTTTCGTCGGTGATTCTCCGACGAGGACTCTGGCGATTCGTTCGAGATCTTACCTTGCAGATTTCTCTCGAATCTTGACGGAAGATGGAACCTCAACAACACGAATCTTTCTTCTCTCCAAGAAGAAGCTTCAGAGTGCAAGTCACGGTAGAGGATGATTTTCGTTGGTGATTCTCTGACGAGGATTATGGTGATTCACTTTTCTTCTCAAGTTTTTCTCTCAACTTTCTTTCTCATACTTTTCTCTTTTGCAGGTATTCTGTGGAGAATCCTCAAGACCCCTATAATGGGCAAAAGAGCAAATTGACCCTTTTGCCCCTCTGACTGACCGTTTTTTTTTTTAAAAAGCGTTACACCTTATGATGTGACTCCGCAGATTCTCGTTATGTGTTTTGCAGTATTTTCGATTTTGAAATGTATATCAGACAATTTTTAACTTTTAGTCTCATGTTCAAACAACAATAAATATTGAAAGGTTTTTACTCTTGAGTCCAAGTGGCGATCCGTGATTCGATGTATCTGTTAAATACTGTCATAAGCCCTATTCTCTAGGACCAAGACCTATTCTCAAGGTCTTGCTAATATTTTTAGGCTTGTTAGTTTATCTTTAGGTTTAGCAGAAGGCTATATAATGTCATTCTTTATGCGGTTGAAAAATCAAGTTTTTGAGTGCAATATTGTATGTCTTGAGTGATTTTGGTGTTGTGAGTACACTTGTTCCGCTTTCGGCGCACAACAAGTGGTATCAAAGCCTTGTTGTGGTATTTTGGGGTATTGTGAAAGCTTGGGCCTCATCGACCAATCGACGTGCTCACAATCGTGTCTATTCTCTTGAAATTCAATTTTCAAGAATTGTGGTTTTTGAGTTTCATCCAGATTAATTATTGCACATGGCAGAACCATCACAACGTGGATCGAGAGTGTGGAGTTCCAATCTCGAAGTAGAGAAATTTGATGGAACCAATAATTTTGGTGTTTGGTGAGGCGAAGTTAGCGATTTGCTGGTCATGCAAGACCTCGATGTTTCTCTCCAAGAGGAAATGCCTGAAGACATGACAGAAGCAGAATGGACGAAATTAAATCGATAATCCTGTGGAATTATTCGATCCTGTCTTGGCAAGGATCAGAAATAACCATTTATGAAGGTTACCATGGCGAAAGAATTATGGGACAAACTTGAAGCGAAATATATGAAGAAGAGTGTGGAAAATAAACTCTATTTGAAGAAGAAACTCTTCCGTTTTGACTACAAGGAAGGCATCTCAATGGCTGAGCATTTGGATGATTTTAACAAAATCATCACTGATTTTCTCAATCTTGATGTTAAGATTGATGACGAGGACAAGGCGTTGTTGTTATTAAACTCTTTGCCGGAAACCTACGAGTTTTTAGTAACGACCCTACTACATGGAATCACTAATATTGATTTTGAAGATGTTTCAAATGCCTTAATAAACAATGAGATGCGAAAAAAGAAAAATGAGACGTATCAAAGCTCTAGCTCAAATGTTCTCACTGCTCATGGAAGGACTTCTAATTGGAAAAAGAACGAATGTGGAGAGTCTCGATTAAACTCGAGAGGTAGATCTGACAATTGGAGAAAACTTGATAAAAATGAGTGTGCATATTGTCGACAGAAAGGCCATTGGAAAAAAGATTGTTCGATCTTAAAAGAGAAGGGGTCGAAGTCCAATGTGGTTAGAGATGACGACACTGATACAGATGATGCCTTGACAATCTCCCTATCAGTCAGCCAAACCAGTGAATTTCTTGATTCTGGGTGCTCCTATCATATGTGTCCCAACAAAGAGATGTTTTTGGACTTCAAAAAGTTCAATGGTGGAGTTGTCTATATGGGCAATGATAGTACTTGCAAGATAATGGGAATCGGCTCAGTACAAATCAAGATGTTTGATGGGGTTATACGAAAACTCAAAGAGGTGAGGTATGTCCCTGACTTGAAGAAAAATTTGATTTCACTTGGCGTTTTGGATGCGAGTGGTTATCGCATCATTTTGGAAGGAGGGAATTTGAAAGTAGCTCGTGGAGCTTTGGTGGCAATTACAGGAACTAGAAGAGGTAGCATATACTACCTCAACGGAACCACAATAATTGGGCATGCTGCTGTGGCAAGTTCGAAAGAACAAGACTTATCGAAATTATGGCACATGCGACTCGGGCATGCTGGTGAGAAGGCGCTTCAGACACTGGTGAACCAAGGAGTCCTTAAGGGTGCCACCACTGGAAGAATTGATTTCTGTGAACATTGTATATTTGGTAAACAAAAAAATGTGAAGTTTGGTACAGCTATACACCAAACAAAGGGCATTTTGGATTATGTTCACACTGATGTATGGGGTCCCACAAAGAATGTCTCATTGGGAGGAAAGAGGTGGTTCGTCACCTTTATTGATGACTACTCGAAGAGAGTTTGGATGTATCCCATGAGGCACAAAAACGAGGTTCTCCAAATCTTCCTAGAGTGGAAGAAAATGTTAGAGAATCAGACGGACAGGAAAATCAAAAGGCTGAGATCAGACAACGGGGGAGAATATACTTATGATCCATTCCTTAAAGTATGCCGAGATGAAGGGATCGTTCGACACTTCACTGTTCCTGGTAAGCCACAACAAAATGGAGTTGCTGAGAGAATGAACCAGACATTAACAGAGAAGGTTCGATGCATATTGTCTCAAGCAGGATTGAGTAAAGCATTTTGGGCTGAGGCTCTCAGTTATGCAGTTCACTTGGTGAATCGTTTACCTATTTCTGGAAATAGTGGGAGAACTCCGCTTGAGGTATGGTCAGGTAGTCCTGTTAGTGATTATGATAAATTGCATGTGTTTGGGTGTCCTGCTTATTATCATGTGACAGACTCAAAGCTGGATCCTAGAGCAAAAAAAAGCCAAGTTTATGGGCTTTAGCAAAGGTGTGAAGGGCTATAGGTTATGGTGTCCAGAAACAAGTAAGATTGTTAATAGTCGAGATGTGACATTCGATGAGTCTGGAATGTTTTTGCAGAAAATTGAAATTAATGACGAGACATTGAAGCAGGTGGAGAAGGTGGTGTTCTCTCCTGATGTGGTTGCTCCTACTGAAGAACCTATTGATCAGGTAAATAATAACTTTGATGTCTTAGAACAGAAAGAGCAAAGTCTTGAGGAGCAAAGCCTTGTAAATGAAAGAGTGGAGGAACCTGAGTCAATCGCCAAGAATAGACCACGAAGGGTAATTCGAAAACCTGCAAGGTTTGATGATACGATAGCATATGCTTTCTCTTTGATTGATGGAGTTCCTAACAGTTACAAAGATGCTATTTAGAGCCCGGATAGCTTACACTGGCAAGAGGCTGTGAATCAGGAGATAGCATCATTGGAGATAAATCAAACTTGGGATTTGGTACAGCTTCCAAAAGATAAGAAGGAAATTGGTTGTAAATGGGTTTTTGCAAAAAAGAAAGACCCTTTTGGTATAGGTTATAAAGCTCGACTTGTGGCTAAAGGCTACGCACAAAAAGAAGGCATTGACTACAATGAACAATAGGTTCTTTAGTAGGAGCAACCACATCAGGAGAGAACACCACCTTCTCCACCTGCTTCAATGCTTTTTTTTTTTGCGCTTAAAGGTACTTTATCAGGTAAATAATAACTTTGATGTCTTAGAACAGAAAGAGCAAAGTCTTGAAGAGCAAAGCCTTGTAAATGAAAGAGTGGAGGAACCTGAGTCAATCGCCAAGAATAGACCACGAAGGGTAATTCGAAAACCTGCAAGGTTTGATGATACGATAGCATATGCTTTCTCTTTGATTGATGGAGTTCCTAACAGTTACAAAGATGCTATTCAGAGCCCGGATAGCTTACACTGGCAAGAGGCTGTGAATCAGGAGATAGCATCATTGGAGATAAATCAAACTTGGGATTTGGTACAGCTTCCAAAAGGTAAGAAGGAAATTGGTTGTAAATGGGTTTTTGCAAAAAAGAAAGACCCTTTTGGTATACGTTATAAAGCTCGACTTGTGGCTAAAGGCTACGCACAAAAAGAAGGTATTGATTACAATGAAATTTTCTCACCTGTGGTGAAACATTCTTCGATTCGAATATTGTTAGCTTTGGTTGCTCAATTTAATCTTGAGCTTGCACAACTCGATGTAAAAACTGTCTTTTTGCATGGAGATTTGGAAGAAGAAATATATATGGCGCAACCAGTTGGTTTCCGAGTAGTTGGACAACAACATTTAGTATGCAGATTGAAGAAATCTTTGTATGGGCTGAAGCAATCCCCTCGCCAATGGTATAAAAGGTTTGATCATTTCATGGTAGAGCATATGTATACTCATAGTCAATTTGACCATTGTGTGTATTATCGATGTCTCGATGATGGATCGTTTATTTACTTGCTCTTATATGTTGATGATATGTTAATTGCTTCAAAGAGACAGGTGGAGATTGATAAACTCAAAGATGAGCTTTCTAAAACATTTGAAATGAAAGACTTAGGCAATGCAAAGAAAATACTTGGAATGGAGATAGAGCGAGATCGGAAAAAAGGTACAGTCTGGTTGACTCAGTCTCAATATCTACGCAAGGTATTGTCAAGATTTAGTTTGAATGATTCAACCAAACCCGTTAGTACTCCATTTGCTCCTCATTTCAAGCTTAGTGCTTCCATGTGTCCAAGTTCTGACGATGACAAAAGGTATATGGAGAACATTCCTTATACAAATGCTGTTGGTGCGTTGATGTATGCTATGGTGTGTACTCGACCTGATATTTCACACGCAGTAAGCATGGTGAGTCGTTATATGCATAATCCTGGTAAAGAGCATTGGCAGGCTGTAAAATGGATTCTTAGGTACATTCTTGGCACTATTGATGTTGGTATTAAGTTTCAAAACAAGAAATGTTTAATCTTGACAATCGTGTAGCTGGTTTTGTGGATTCTGATTATGCTGGTGATTTGGATAAGCGACGATCTACTACGGGATATTTATTTACTATGGCTGGTGGACCTGTTTGTTGGCTTTCAATATTGCAGTCTACTGTTGCATTGTCTACCACTGAAGCAGAGTATATGGCAGTAACGGAAGCTTTTAAAGAAGCTATTTGGATGCATGGTTTGATCAATGACTTGGGTATTTTGCAGGGACATATAGATGTATTTTGTGATAGCCAGAGCGCTATTTGCTTGTCAAAAATCAAGTCCATCATGCTCGTACAAAACACATTGATGTCCGTTTTCACTTTATTCGAGAAATTATT